TGTCGGAGGGGGGGGGGTTTGCTGTTTTCGGGGGGGAGGAGGTGTGCTGGGGGGGGAGAGGTGTGCTGTTGTCGGAGGGGGGGGGTATGCTGTTGCTGAGGGGGGGGATGTCGTTGTCGGAGGGGAGGGGTATCTGTTGTCGGAGGGGGGGGGTGTGCTGTTGGGGGAGGGGGGGGGTGTGCTGTTGTCGGGGGGAGGGGGTGGCTGCTGCGGGGGGGAGGGGTGTGCTGTTTCGGGGGAGGGGGTGTGGTTTTCGGAGGGGGGGGGGGGGCTGTTGTCGGAGGAGAGGGGTGTGCTGTTGCGGGGGGAGGGGGGGCTGTTGTCGGAGGGGGGGTGGCTGTTGTCGGAGGGGGGGGGGTGGCGTTGTCGGGGGGGGGGGTGTGCTGTTGTCGGGGGGGAGGGATTCTTTGTCTGAGGGGGAGGGGGGGGGGCTGTTGTCGGAAGGGAAGGGGTGTGCTTTGTCGGAGGGAGGGGATATCTGTTGAGGGGGGGGGGGTTTTGTTGAGGAAGGGAGGGGGTGTGCTGTTTGGAGGGGAGGGGGGTGTGCTGTTGAGGGAAAGGGGGGGGGGTGTGCTGTTGGGGGGAGGGTGTGCTGTTGTCGGAGGGGGGGGTGTGCTGTTGTCGGGGGGGGGGGGGTGTGCTGTTGTCGGAGGGGAAGGGGGGGCTGTTGTCGGAGGGGAATATCTTTGAGGGAGGGGAGGGGGGGGTGTTGTTTAGGAAGGGGAGGGGTGTTGTTGCGGAGGGGAGGGGGTGTGCTGTTGAGGAAGGGAGGGGGGGTGTGTTGTCGGAAGGGGGGGGGTGTGCGTTGTCGGAGGGGGGGGGTGTCTGTTGTCGGAGGGGAGGGGAAAATTGCGTTGTCGGAGGGGAGGGGGTGTGCTGTTGTCGGAAGGGGGGGGGGGTGTGCTGTTTTTCGGGGGGGGAGGGGGTGCGCTGTTGCGGAGGGGGGGGTTTTGTGTTGTCGGAGGGGGGGGGGGCTGTTTTTGGGGGGGGGGGGGGGGTGTGCTGTTTTCGGGGGGGGGGTTTTGTGTTGTCGGAGGGGAGGGATGCTATGTCGGGGGGAGGGGGTTGGTGTTTGGGGGAGAGGGGGTGTGCTTTTGACGGGGGGGGGGGTGTGTGTTGTCGGAGGGGAAGGGGGTGCTGTTGTCGGAGGGGGGAGGGTGTGTTGTCGGAGGGGAGGGGGTGTGCTGTTGTCGGGGGGGAGGGGGGGGTGCTGTTGCGGAGGAGAGGGGGTGTCTGTTTTCGGAGGAGAGGGGGGTTTGGGGTTGACGGGGGAGGGGGGTGCTGTTTCGGGGGAGAGGGGTGTGCGTTTACGGAGGGGGGGGGTGTGTGTTGTCGGGGGGGAGGGGTGTGCTGTTTTCGGAGGGGGGGGTGTGCTGTTGTCGGAAAGGGGGGGGGTGTGCTGTTGCGGGGGGAGGGGGGGTGCGTTGTCGGGGGGAGGGGGGGGGCTGTTTTTTGGGGGAAGGGGGGGTGCGTTTCGGAGGGGGGGGGGGTTCGTTGTCGGAGGGAGGGGATGTGCTGTTACGGAGGGGAGGGGGTGTGCTGTTGTCGGAGGAAAAGGGGTGGCTGTTACGGAGGGGGGGGGTTGCTGTTGTCGGGGGGGGGGGGGTGCTGTTGTCGGGGGGGGGGGTGTGCTGTTTCGGAGGAGAGGGGGTGTGCTGTTGAGGGGGGGAGGGGGGGGGCTGTTGTCGGAGGGAGGGGGTGTGCTGTTTTCGGAGGGGGGGGGTGCGTTGTCGGGGGAAGGGGGTGTGCGTTTCGGGGGGGGGGGGTGTGCTGTTTCGGGGAGGGGGGTGTGCGTTTCGGAGGGGGGGGGTGTGCTGTTTCGGGGGAGAGGGGGGTCTGTTGTCGGAGGGAGGGGGGCTTTTCGGAGGGGAGGGGGTGGCGTTGTCGGGGAGAGGGGGGGTTCTGTTTTCGGAGGGGGGGGGGTTGCGTTGTCGGAGGGAGGGGGTGTGCTGTTTTTCGGAGGGGAAAGGGGGTGGCTGTTTTCGGGGGGGAGGGGGGTTTTTGTTGTCGGAGGAGAGGGGGGGGTCTGTTTTTTCGGAGGGGGGGGGCGTTAGGAGGGGAGAGGGGTGCGTTCCCGGAGGGGAGGGGGGGGTTTCTGTTGTCGGGGGAGGGGGGTCTGTTGTCGGGGGGGGTGTCTGTTAGGAGGGGGGGGGTTGGGGTTCGGGGGGGGGGGGGTGTTGAGGGAGGGGGGGGGTTGCTGTTGTCGGGGGGAAGGGGTGTGCTGTTGTCGGAAAGGGGGGGGGATATTTCTGTTGAGGGAGGGGAGGGGGTGTTTCTGTTTAGAGGGGGGGGTGTGCTGTTTTCGGGGGGGGAAGGGGGGTGCTGTTTCGGAGGGGGGGGGGATAGGTTTAGGGAGGGGGGGGTGTGCTGTTTAGGGAGGGGGGGTGTTCTGTGTCGGAGGGGGGAAGGGGGGTGCGTTTCGGGGGGGAGGGGGTTTCTGTTGGGGGGGGAGGGGTGTGTTTGTTGAGAAAGGGGGGGGGGGGTGCTGTTTGGGCGGAGGGGAGGGGTTTGCTGTTGACGGAGGGGGGGGGGTGTGCTGTTGTCGGAGGAGAGGGGGTGTGCTGTTTAGGAGGGGGGGGGGTGTGCTGTTTGGGGGGAGGGGTGTGCTTTTTTCGGAGGGGGGGGGGTGTGCTGTTGTCGGGGAGAGGGGGGTTTCTGTTGACGGAGGGGGGGGGGTTGCTGTTGCGGAGGGGAGGGGGGGGGCGTTGTCGGAGGGGGGGGTGTGCGTTGTCGGGGGAGGGGGTGTGCTGTTGTCGGAGGGGAGGGGGTTGCGTTGCGGAGGAGAGGGGGTGTGCTGTTGTCGGGGGGGGGGGAGGGGGGGGTGCGTTGTCGGGGGAGAGGGGTGTACTTTGTCGGAGGGGAGGGGGGGTGTGTTGTCGAGGGGGGGGGGTGTGCTGTTGTCGGAGAGAGGGGGGTGTGCTGTTGTCGGAGGGGGGGTGTGCTTTGTCGGGGGGGGGGGGTGTGCTGTTGCGGAGGAGAGGGGGGTGCTTTTCGAGGGGGGGGGTGTGCTGTTTCGGAGGAGAGGGGGTGTGCGTTGCGGGGGGGGGGGCTGTTTAGGGGGGGGAGGGGTGTGCTGTTGACGGAGGGAGGGGGTGTCTGTTGCGGAGGGGAGGGGTGTGCTGTTTCGGAGGGGGGGTTTTCTGTTAGGGAGGGGAGGGGGTGCTGTTTTACGGGGGGAGGGGTGGCTTTTTGAGGGGGGGGAGGGGTGGGTGTTGTCGGGGGGGAAGGGTGTGCGTTTTCGGGGGGGAGGGGGGTTTCTGTTGAGGGAGGGGGGGGGGTGTGCCGTGAGGGAAGGGGAGGGGGTGGCTTTGTCGGGGGAAGGGTGTGCTGTTTTTTGGAGGGGAGGGGAAAGCTTGAGGGGGGAGGGGTGTGCGTTAGGGGGGGGGGGGTTGCTGTGCGGGGGAGGGGGGGGCTGTTGTCGGAGGGAGGGATAGCTGTTGAGGGGGGGGGGGTGTGTTGTTGAGGAGGGGAGGGGGTGCTGTTGTCGGGGGGGGGGGGTGCTGTTGAGGAAAGGGGGGGGGTGTGCTGTTTTCGGGGGGAGGGGGTTGGGTGTTACGGAGGGGAGGGTTGCTGAGGCGGAGGGGAGGGGGGTGGCGTTGACGGAGGGGTGGGGGGCGTTGACGGGGGGGAGGGGGGTGCTGTTACGGGGGGAGGGGGTTTCGTTGAGGGGGGGGCTTCTTTGTCCCCAAAAAGACTATAGACTTGAATGGGAATTAGAAAAAATGCGCATTGGGGCGCGGAAAGAGCAGAGGGGACAGTTTGGGGCCGCTGATACAAAAAAATGACAAAAAATATTGTCTGGAGTTAAAACCGTTTAAACTCATAGCTCACTGGTACAAGGGGGTGTTGCTGCCTCCTCAACCTCGGTTGAAGTCCCCATCGTTTTTTACTATTTTTCATTGGGAATCGTTATTTTCAAATTTCTTGAGTTTATATTATTTATATAGCAAAACAACCCTGGAAAAGTGATTTCTACATTATCACAATTTCTTGAAAGTGAAAACACGAATGCTCTTGGAAAATTCACTAAAATTTTTTACAGTGGTTTTGTTATTTGTGATATCACACACCACACACCACACTATATATTATAGATAACATAATCTCTGGTCGAAAGGGACTCGAACCTACGAACCTTGGGACAAGGTAACGGCTCAACCAAAACCCACCACACTGGGGCAGCCTTGGCTCCGCCCAAAGCTAGACTTTTTATCTAAAGGGAGCCAGCATTCAGTCAGTGGTGTTAGCTATTTTATCTCATCCCCTACCTGCTTCGACCGACGGGGGAGTTTTTTCATGTTTGGAATACCTTTCCCAAGGTTCGTAGGTTCGAGTCTCCTTTACAAAGATTAGTGTTTTGAATATTCGCCTTTCTGTGAATTATATATATATTATATAATATTTATATATATATATTTTAAAAATATTATATATTATAATAATAATTTTTATATAATTTATAATATAATAATATATATATATGTGGGGTGTGGTGTGTGTGTTTTGTGTGGGGGGGTGGGGTGTGTAATTTTTATCAATAAGATGACAGTAAAAAAACACATATACAGAACAACCAGAAAAAAATTAACTTTCAAGCGCTATAAATAAAAAAAATCGTGAGGATTTTTGATGAATGATAATCAGGAAATTTTTTTGAAGATATTATATAAGGACTTGAGGGGGCGCTTTTTAATGATGGTTGTGCACAAGACTTTGTTTTATAACTGCAATATATTCCTCACTGTGTTGTTACGTCCCAAGGCTTAACATGGTTAAGGTTTGCGTCACCTAATACAACTGGAAAGTTTACGTCGAAAGACTCAAGAAATTGAAGGTTTTGCATCACCTGTCGTAACCTGTGCAAAGTTTCTGTCAGCTAGCGTAACATGTGTAAGGTTTGCGTCATGTGGCGTAAGGTTTGCGTAGGCATGTGAATGGTGAAAAATCAGGTAAAGATCATATGCAACAAAAACCTCCCCCAAACAAACGCCAGCGCCCGCGGGGTCTCCCACTCGCATATAGAAAGGCGTAGAGGTAAAAGTTGCCTGGCCAGCAAGTGCCTCCTGGTGATATATAAAGAGAGCGAGCGGGAGACGGTGCGCAGTCACTCCAGGATGAAGCTTCAGGTAAGACTGTGTAGCGCAAGTCACAGTAGGGGTCACTAACCGAGGTCACTAGTTGGGACCACCTTCAGTGAAGGTGCTGTGGGCGGACTCCACTCTGTAGGTGGTGTTCCCCTGAACGCCATCATGGAATACTCTTGCTCTCACACTTGCAGCAAAATTCAGTAGTTTCAACGATGTTAATATTTATATTCGTCCGGGACTCTCATCTGTCACGGGTTTTTTTTTTTATGTTGTGTAGGTAAGCGATCAGTTTAATGTACTGGTTTATATGTTATGGTTGGTTAAGACACCAGGGGCTGCAAACACCTTTCCTACACATTACAGTAAGATACATGCAACATCTTCCATATACTAGCATGAGGCTCACAGCTGCAACCATCTCTCCAACACTAGTAACTACAACAAATGGGACTTGCAGGCGGTTACTCCCACATAATCTTATGCGAGTAGAAATGTGCACACTTCTTGAACGCATTACGTAACACTGAGCAGTGTTTTAGGGGATTCCTGTAACTGAGAAGCCCAGTGTGGAGAAGCAGCAGCATCATTAAGTGGGGAATACTGACCTTCAACAATCACATTAGGATGGTGACTGACCTTCAACAATCACATTAGACATCCAGTAACAGCCTGGTTGATCATGCCCTGAGCCACCGGGAGGTCTAGTCAAAGACTGGGCCGCCCGGGCGTTGTCCTCTTAAACACCCTCCAGGTACAATCCAGGTATACTAATCTTCAGCTTCATTAAGATGACTACTGACCTTCAGAAAGCTCATTAAGATGACTACTGACCTTCAACAAGCTTCTTAAAGTGGTAACTACTGACCTTCAACAGTCTCATTAAGATAGTTTCTACTGACCTTCAGCAAGCTCATTAAGGTGGACCTCCAGCATCATGTTCAGAACTTGACCTCCAGCATTATATTCAGAGGTTGACCTCCAGCAGGAGGCTCAGAGGGGCTCATAACCCACTGTCAAATGAGAGTAAACACATGTGCACATTCAGGGTATACTTTATTTAGACTTTCGCGATCAGTGGCTTATTCTTGAACAATTCTAGGACATAACTGTTAAGACGAGATCTAATGTACGAAGATTGAGGTAAGTCAGCGCTCAAACAGGATAGTGACGTAACAACCATTAGGTGGAGATTGACTTCAAAGCACATAGAAAGAAACCTGGTTATATGTGAGACGGGAGGTGTAGCAAGACGGGTGCTCCGGGCGTGATTCCCTTGGAAACTAGGTCAATCCAAAAATCGTTAGTTTTAGATGATAATGTCAGAAGTCGTTAAGGATGATACATGCCCTTTCAGAAATTTAAGATCCTGACTTACAAGTTCTTAAAGTTGTGAAACGAATGACTTAAATACACAAGGTGGACTCAGCATCATGTTCAAACTTTGACCCAGCAATATTCAGAGGTTTACCTCCTGCGGATGTCCAGGGACCAAACTCCACTGTAATATACTCGACCACCTGGCCAGCCCGTGTTTGTATGAGATTTTCCAGTCATTATATTGTGCAAATTATAGGTTGATAATTATAGATACCTTGTCGGAGTTCTTCCTCCCCCCCTCCCCGTTCTAAGTGTAAGATGTGACCTCGACCTCATCCTCCATCCTCACCTCAGCCTCCACCACCTCTCTTCTGCAAATGTAACAACTCATCTCCCTTCTACACCAGTCCCCACTCGTCCCCATCAGCCTTCACTCGTCCCCATCAGCCTCCACTCGTCCCCATCAGCCTCCACTCGTCCCCAGATACGTTACTTTCCTCCCCAGGAAGTCTTCAGGATGTGCTGGCCACCTCCACTGATTCAGTGTATTCCATGACGTCATCATGATCTTCCCGACCTCGGTTCATTTAAAATCATTTGTCTGACTTAATAATCTGTTTATTATTATTATTGCATACTGAAGTGTATAAACCCGTGTGGGCCATAGAGAGCAAGGAGTACTAGAGGCTCCAGTCTCTGCTCTCACGCCCAACTTCCTCACTCGAACTCTCTCTCTACTTATTATCTTTTTCAATTATCGTTCCTCTATTATTTTGTATTAATATCAGTATAGTTGTTGCAGCATTATGTAACATTTACAACATTAACATTAACATTCAGCTTTTTTGCAAGCGTTGTGTTACACCTTAACACCTTTATTATATTTCTAGTTACCAAATGCTTTAGTTACACAGCAGGATAGATCTATATTAAGGAGCTGTTATGTTGGTAAATAACCACTGGTATCGTGAGCTGACCTAATTTGACCTGACCTAGCGTAACCTGACCTAATATGAACACTAAACAATAATGGAAATGAATGCATTCTTTTCTCATCGTTAGAATATTAATATATTCGTTTTACTCGGTCATCACGCAGTAACTTGGCATTATAAGCCGGGTAAGTCAGTACCTCGTAGATCAGTGTTAGACTTCGAGCGCTATCTGGGTTGTGATTCTTGTGATTCGAACTGTTTCCGAGCTTGGCGAGATATACTGGAAAGGTTTTCCTGTTTCTGCTGCTTCTGTTTACCTAGAGTAGCACAGAGTACTTTTGTTGAAGAGTAAGACACGTGGTCAATGCTGGGGATCTTTATTTAGTAAATGTTTTGCCTACGCTGCTAGCTTCAATGATTGATTACAAAGACATCAGCACTGGTGGAAGACGAAGTGAGAGGTACTTAATGTAATCAGTCCATCACCCTTGCTCCAGGAGGGAAGTGGGTGGGGGGGGGGCACATGCAGCGGGTGCCAGGAACCCAGGCTCGGGTGTCAGGGACCTAGGTTTAGGTGCCAGGGACCCAGGCTCAGGTGCCAGGGACGTAGGTTTAGTTGCCAGGAACCCAGGCTCAGGTGTCAGGGACCCAGGTTTAGGTGCCAGGGACCCAGCCTCAGGTGTCAGGGACCCCGGCTCATATGTCAGGAATACAGGCTACCATTAAATATTTAATTTATTATGTACCTCAACTTTACAACGGTATATTACGGTTGGTAACTAAACAGTTATATTTATACATTTCAATACAATAGTTCCTATGTGCAGTGAACTGCCAGGTTGCGTAGTTATTAATAAAGTTGAAAATTTGTGGAAATTGCAGCTGAGGCCCCAACAGTTAGTTTGTAGCTGTCTCGTAGTGCCTCGGGAGCGACCTCCACTGCTGAGTATCCCTGGGCATGACAAAAGTGATCATTTGATTTTAAATAGGGTGAAATGTCTGGTTTTGGTACACTAGTGGATACTTTACACTGGTACACATTAGTACCAGCACACCAGCAGCGTTTGTCACTGAGCGAGTGATCATAGAATAAAGACCCACGTCGCGTCATGAGACGATTTCCTCTTTTCTGACTAACAAACTAGCACCTAGGTGCTTCGTCATGCACACAGCCACACTGGCTGCCTGCCAACACAAGTGTTCTCTAAGAAAACTGAAGTGTAGTCTCTCACGTTTTAAACTTTTTTTTTCAAAGTGACTGTAACTTAATGAGTTTCAAAACGCTTTTATAATATTATCTTGTTGCTATTTCTATAGATTATTCGCCCATACGTATTATTAAACCCATGAGGGTCGTAAAGCGCATGAGAAATGGTAGGGGGTTGAGGTAATTAGGTTTGATCCAAGGGGAAAGTAACATAGAGTTATTCACCAGTATCGTGGCACATTATTTAAGGAATATATTTATGTATTGCTGGTGTTCACCGTTGTTTATGTAGCAGTATGTTGAACACTCAGTGGTCTACAAGGGAATCTTTAACAGAAGAAACACAGGGGCATGGCAAACTTTAATTGTGACAATATACCGCTCTGTGTAGGGCTTTATCAGCTCTTTGATAAAGCCCTACACAAGAAACTTTGCCTCAATATTAGCTTGCTGTGCACTTGTGTCTTTACACTGCAGGCAGTGTGCTGCTCTATCCAGCCTTGGCGGAGGTTACTAATGCTTCTTCCATAGGTCTGCTTAAACAGTAGGCTGGACGAGAAGTGAGGCAAGACGAGGGAAAGGATGACGAGGGTTCAGGAGAGAGTTTAACCAGGAAACTTGTCATAAATACTTTCATTTCCACTGGAGAATATTTCACCATGAGTGGTTTGTGAGCAGTGAGTGAAAGTGAGTGTCAGTGATCAGAGTAGCTGTGAGACAGGTGACAGGTTTTTCAATACAGTACTCGTCCTGCTTTTTAAGCTCATTTTGCCAGCTTGGCTTAGTTGTCAGTGAACGTTTTCAGAAATAAACCAAACGTTTAATAGTTTTTTTTCTACTATTCAGGATAATCAGTCTGAATATTTTCTTTAATAATGTTTAGTCAGGTTCCTTTTAGTTTTAGTTAAAAATTGCAGAATTGTACACAGACGAAAATTTACGAGAAAATCTACTTTTAAGACATCTGACTTAACTCACGAGGAACAACCAAACATTCCACGAGTGTATGATAATACAACTATCATACATTCCAGGAGTGTATGATAATACATCTATCATTCATTCCAGGAGTTTATGATAGTACATCTATCATACATTCCAGGAGTGTATGATAATACATTATCATAATACATTCCAGGAGTTTTGATAGTACATCATCTACTTCCAGGTGTGTATGATAATACATCTATCATATTCAGGAGTTTATGTTAGACACTATCATACATTCCAGTAGTGTATGATATTAATCTATCATTCATGCCAGGAGTTAGATAGACATCTATCAACATTTCCAGGATGTATGCATAATACACCCTTCATTCTTACCGAGTGTATGATAATGCTGTATGATAATTAACCAGGGGTCTCATCGCACTTGTTAGTGTAGCATGCACGTTCATGGATATTCGGTGCAACATAAATGTTCCTTTACATTTACCCATTTGGATGTATACCTTTTGTTCATACTCACATGCATTTGGCTGTTATCATTTATCTTTTACTATGATGGTATGTAACTGCCTACCCCACATCTCGTACCATGATTTACTATGCTCGAGCGTTGACCCTACCATTGTCCA